CAATTATTATGAAAATTTTGTTGGAAATCAAAAAGTGTAATACTATTGTATTATCAAAATGCAGCATAACCTGTTCAATTGCCTATAGATTGAATGTCAGTAAGTACACTGGTGTATTTATTACACTGTAATCCAAGGGTAACTAGATGGCATGAATAGGCATACATGTGAATGATATTAATCATCATTGGTTTTACAACAACAGCAGTCGTAATCTAGTCACCTTAGATGTTTAAAAATAAATTAAGTCTATGTAAATAAGGGCGTGCCATAGACAATTATACATCTCATCCAACAGTTATACGACAATGCTGCATGCCAAGTAATCCACAACGGGAAACTTACAGAATCCTTCGAAGTGAGAACGGGAGTGAGGCAAGGCTGTCTACTATCACCAATGATCTTCCTGATAGCAGTAGATTGGATAATGTGACAGTAAACGGGCAATCAGGAAACAGGCATAAAATGGACTCACATAAAAAGAGACTTGGAGGATCTAGACTTCGCCGATGACATATGTCTGATTTCTCACAAACTGGAAGATATGCTAGCGAAAAGCAACCAGCTGGCAGAAGAAGCATCAAAGATAGGACTTCAGGTGAACACAGAGAAAACTGAGGTGATGAAGATTCCTGGCCAACACCAACAGTGACAGCAACAACAACAGGCAACAGACAACAATCAGCCAGCATAAATGGGAGGAGCCTGAAAGAAACAACCTCCTTCACCTACCGACCTGGGAAGCTTCGTTTCATCTACAGGCGGACGGAACTGATGACGACATCATCAAAGCGAGAATCGAGAAAGCATGACAAGCTTTCATTTCTCCCAAGTCTGTGTGGAGGTGATGAGCAGCACTCAGAATCAAAGATAAGATCCGGATCTTCAACTCCAATATGCAGTCAGCGCAACTTAATATGCGGGTCAGAGACTTGGCGCGTCATGAAGAGCAGCTCAAATAAACTAAAGGCCTTCATCAACAGCTGTCTCTGCTCAATTATTTGCTCGAGATCAGATGGCCGGCTAGAAAAGATCAGCAACAGGGGTCTCTGGCAATCAGTGAACCAACACAGCAGGAACCGATTGTGAAACAAATACGCAGGAAGAAATGGAGATGGATTGGCTGGCCATACTCTGAGGAAACCATCAAGTGACATCACTAGACAAGCCAGTGCTCGAGTGAAACCCGACTGAATGGGAAGCGGCGAGTTGGTCGTCAGTGCAAGGGTGACTTGGAGGAGGTCATGTGAAGAGGAGATGAAAGCATGTGGGCAGACTTTGAGCCGGCTGAAAAAGTTGGCAGAAAGCAGAAGGCGATGAAGATGCGCAGCTGAAGCCCTATTTTCTTCTAGGAATGAAAGGATATAATAATAATAATGTAAATAAATAATGCATCAAGTCACAGTTGACTATGGTATTCACTAGGATGGTCGTAATTTGAACAGTACTAATATGACTGAGTGAATAATAAGCAATCAACTTTACCATAGAAAAAGAAAGTAATGACTGTATCTCATTCCTAGACGTCTTCATGGCAAGGAAAGAAGATGGTACACTAAGAAGGAGTGTGTATAGGAAACCTACAACAACAACAGGTCAGTACACTCATTTTTTAGTTTTGTACCTTTGAAATATAGGCGTAACCTGGTAAAGTGTCTGGTTCATAAGGCAGGGTCAATCTGTTCAGACGACTGCCTCAATGAGGAGTTTAAGATTATTAGAGAATTGCTTACAAAACACCGTTATCCAGATTAATTCATTGAGAAAAATATGAATTCAGCACCTGGGGAGAGTCAATATAGCAACAGTTCCGAAAAAACCAATATTCATAAAACTGAAGTTCCTCGGTGACAAGATCAGCGAAATAATAACACAGCGAACACCTGAAGAATGCAGTTAAAAGAGCTCATTATGCAGCAGAGGTACGTTGTCTCTTCGCAACCACCCCTATTCTACGTTCGAGAAATAAGGATAAACTACCTAAATTCTCCTCCTCTATGTGTATCTATCAGTTTGATTGCAGCTACGGAGCCAGCTACATTAGGCGTACAATTAGACAGGTTCATTATCGGATTTCCGAACATCATCCAGCATGGTTAAGCAAGGGACAAACAAGATCTATTCGTAACTAGCTCTATTGTAGCACACCTTGTAGATAGTGAGCATAAGGTTGATGTTAATACAGCATTTAAAATAATAAGTTTGCCGCGTTGACTACTCAGAGGGAATTCGTGTCACATTTCCTGCACTACTTCTTAGTATTGTGACTGAATGAATTCTTTTCAGTGATTTCAATCTCAAAAGCTGTACAATCACATTTATATACATTAGTTTTACATGGATTCAATTGTTATTACTTTTTTTACGAGTTGATCACAGATTGATATCAGTTCGAGAACCATTGAAAACAAGCAGGGAGTACTGGACAGCTGCTGTTTCATCCTAGCTTGGGAATCATCGGCAGTACGCACCCACTGGGTTTCGAACCCAGGACCTTCCGGTTACAAGGCAAGCTCGTATACCATTCAGCCACTGGGACCCGATTCAATGGCTCGTGAATTCTAACTTCTACCAATTCGTGATTTAGCGCGACCCCAACCATTGTCGTTGGTGGGACATCCACACACGTGACATCTAATTGGACCTCACTGGTCACGACTTCTCACTAGAACTCAGGAAACTCCAACCTGTAGCAAGTCACTAGCGAGCGTCAGATTAATTTTCTATAGTTTGGTTTGTATGGGTTAGTTGTGTCTTTACGAGGTGATCACGGATTGATATCCCTTATTATTTATTTATTGAATTCCACATAGTAATGAAGGAGATAATAAAATGTTTCAAGTTGCTACGAAAGTTTGAAGGGAACGAATATATAAGTTACAAGGGGCTTAGAGTCAAGATTACATAGGATTAGAAAACAGGTGCAACGTATAACAGTTACACCGTGCCAGAAGAATTTGTAGAGATGACAGTTTAGAAAAAGAGCTTCTATTTCTCAAAGTTATCGTGGTTCAAGATGGATACCCACGTTTTGTGGAGAAGAACATGAAACCAAAATGCCAAAAAGAGAAGAATACACGTCAGTACCAAAGAAAACACTTTATTTGAATCTGGAATTCAGGGGCGACCTAGTAGCAGATATGATGCTAGTGTTACAGTGATGATGATAGTAATAATACTAATGTTATTGACGACATGTGTGACAAACATTCACAGAATGATGGCAAGGCCAACAGTAAGGAATTTAATTCATCCTTATTACTACTTCCATAGAGAGAAGGAACTTCGGAAACCTTACTCAGAATTCTTGACAATGCAAACAGAAATAAAAGTGGTTGGCATTCAATCACCTAAAAACTAACTCAATTAGAAACAAGCTTTTTTAATTAAAGGATCAATCCTGTGAAGCCAATTAAATAAAACAATTTAGTTTATCTAATACCTTGCCTGCAATGACTGTTAGCTCAAATACATAAGAGAAAGTAGTAGAACAGGGTCAGTCAGATTAGCGGGGCACGAAACCCCTTGGAAAATCTGCAGTTGTTGATCTCAATACTAGGATAAGAAATCTGGAGAATTGGATAGTTCCGCTATGCTACTCATTACATGGAATTACACACAACTATACAGAAGGTTACGGCATCGGTGGTATAGTGGTTAGGACGCTCGCCGACCATGCACATGGTTCGGGGTTCGATCCCCGGCCACCGGCAAGACACTGCTTTACTTCACCAAGCCAGAAATAATGCTGGTAAAGAGGAAAGGTTAGGCATGAGGTGGCTAGCAACCCCATCCTGTAAAATTAAACACTGCCACAGAAATTTCAAGCCACTAGCTTGAGGCACTATGTTCCACTGGGATCGTGAGGGAAAAATACAATAGGATGGATGAGATTAGATGTCAGTTTTAAAATCTAATCTAACAGCTGGGTGGATGGAGAGATTGTTAACGGAAGTTTTATTTATCGAGTCAACTGGAAATGCTTGTGGTTGGGATGACTGTACACCTCTTCCAAAGATATGAAAAATTTTACTACCCTAACAACGACAAATAGGAAAGAATAAAGAAAACTATAAAAATCAAATTTTAGGATTATATTGAGCAACAACTGAAATGATTATGAATAATCATAAAAATAATAAACTGTGTTCCAGACCTAATGATCCATTACAGAGTAATTCTGTTTCACTCACTGTCTGATATATCTAATACACAGATTAATATGAAATTAAATGCTACCACAGTTCAATTATGATAAAATTTATTTTGATAAAGTCTCACAGTGTTTGTTATACACTAATATTTACTGATGACAACGTTTCGAGCACAGTTTATTACCCTGCTCATTATCATATCAAGACACTACTCACACACAACTTTCTAACTCCATTTATATAATTCTATTGTTTTCCATCGCTTGACTTGATTGATAGGCGTATTTTCCATATTTCCGGTATGAGTAATGAGTCACTCCTATTGCTTGTGTTGGGTGTAGACTCGATGAACAAAGATAAAAAGTAATGTAGGTAGGTGGAGAGAGATACAGGTTGATTACTGAATCCTTGTTCATCGAGTCTACACCCAACACACGCAACAGAAATGACTCACCTCTCATACCGGAAATATGGAAAATACTCCTACCAATCAAGTCGAGAGATGAAAACTAGTGGAATTATATAAACGAAGTTAGAAAGTTGTGTGAATAGTGTCTTGATATGATTATGAGTAGTAATAAATTGTTCTCGAAACGTTGTCATCAGTAAATATTAGTGTATAACAAACACTGTGAGACTTTATCAAAAGAAATCTTACGTATTATGGGATTATACTCTATCACAGTGCACAAGTTCTATTCTTATATCAAGAATATATAATATCAGTAATTAATGCAGCCTTCACTATTTAACTCCTGTAAAAAGAACAGAACAAGCAGTCGGTAAAATACCTTGGAAACATATACACATATAAACATGGAAAAATACAATATTGACGTGACTTACCCATGGCCCTTCGGGTTGAAATTTAAGAAGATCTGAGAATTGATCATCAGGATCACCTTGATCTAGAATAGAAATTTTTAAAGATAAAAATTACATTAAATTACACCGCTTAACAGTCTGACAACCAAAGATTATCTCAGGTACTATAAACATCAAAACAAAATTAGTTTTCATCAGTGAGCCGACATCAGGTAGAGAACCATTGGAAAACCTGCAGGAAGTACTGGAAAGCTGTTTCGTCTTAGTTTTGAACTCTTCATCGGTATGCTGAAATCTATGCGGTTTGCCATACGTCCGTCAGCCAAAATCGATGTTGCTTTGTGTATATCCTTGTGTTTTTTCACGCTCCATCCGATCACCGAATCATTGAGAGTGCAGAAGTCTGCGAATAATTCACCGTTTTCATTCATTTTTCCAGATGAGAGCCTCTCGACCCATAATGAGGTCTCTTAATGTGTTTGTTCCCAGTTTGGCATTCATATCACCCATAAAGATTTTGATGTCACCGTTTGGGATGCTGTCCATCACTATTTGTAGTTGTCTGTAAAAATCCTCCTTATTCTCTTGTTCCACGTTGTTTGTAAGTACGTAGCATCGGCTAATTGTGACCTTCTTTTTAGCCTTTCGAGTTGAATACTGCTGTTATGATCCTGGATGAAATTGGTTCCCAGTGAATTAGGGCTTCGGCTTGCACTGGTGACATCATGATAGCCACTCATTGCCTTAGCATGTTCGTGGTTGTCGTTTGGATGGACATACCAGAGTAGACTATTGACTCACCAATTGACAATTTTGACAATCCACATCCATTCCATCTGCTTTCCCAGCTCCCCTGTACTTCTAAGCCATATCTTCTCATCTCTTTGGCTGCCTGGGCAGCCTTCCCAGTTTCGTACATTGTAAGGACATTCCATGTACCCATTCTTATTCATGCTCCCATCTAGAGAATACACCAGTGCTGGTTGACAGGCTTCCCGAATGCTTTCACCAGCCTGCTGTGTCATTTCGCCTCTCCAATTCGAGCGGAGAATAAGACCTTTTATTTAAAGCTTTTGTATTTTTGATATATTTTCTGTGTGTTGAAGTTTGTCTAGCAGTTTTAAAGGTTGAGTGGTAGGGAGTGGTTGCTAGCCTCACGCTCAACCCTCTCTCTTTACTCGGGCTTGAGACTGGCTGGAAAACATTCAAGCCAATTAACTAGGCGAGGTCCAAACTACTTTGTCTTAATTGAATTCGTTATATACATGCGCTTTTATAGCCTCTTAGCAGGCTTGGAAGTTTGAATAGCCTCCCTAATATAAATCATGCATAGTCTTGTGGATAAGCCTACTATACAAGAAATGACGCTAAATTAAGGCCGAATATATGGAAAATATTACGGCCAATAAAACAGAAGGACCAGAATTATTAGGAAGACCTCAGTCAAGTTTTGAATTAGTTATGTTCTGTGAGAAGTTGGTGGATTTAATTACGAAGCTGTCGTTGTCCTCCCCTTAGCCTCTCTAGACAACATCTCCATTCACTGCACGTTTTAACACGAAATGAACTTATTTGGATTCTCCATTAATGATCATAAAGTTTTATCTTTTGACGACCATGGCCGTGTATAACTGGTTGTTAATTTACATCTATATTGATCATGTTTTGATTGACTTAGAATTCGAACTTTCTCGGCATGCGATTTATTCTCTACACCACAATTAGTTGGCAAATTCGGTCTACAGTAGTAATGTGTGTTGTTAATCGCTAGTTGATTCACTTGAGTATCAAACAGGCTTTTAGGAGTTCCCTGACTGGCTTTTCGGTTTTGTTTCTATTTGAAATTAATACATTCTCTCAATTATCGAAAATTCGTGTCCATAATCATTTATATGCATTGATAGGAAGGAATCTACATATAATGTCTTTTTACAACAAGTTTGTATTTTTGGGTTCGGATTCGAAAGGGATGCTCACTTCGACAACCGATGTAATGTTTATTGCAGTTCACACAATTATTCATCCTGCAAATGTTGTATCTTTCGGTTCGCACACTATCGATGAATGAAGTTGTTGTGCTGGCTGGTTGGCTGGCTTGTGTGCTATATCTGCTTCGAATGATCTTAATACGCCAGCTGTTATTTCAGAGATAAGCTTTCTTATATATGGTGGGATTGAGTTTTTTGTGATCTTTGATGTTGGCTTGTTCTTGGTGTTATGACTCGAGTTTAAACACCTTTTGATCGAATTGCAAAGATATGCAATCTTTTTAAAGACAATTAGTAGACATTTCTCTTCTATTCTCCTCAGCACTAGAGTAGTGCTACAGTGTGTTTGAACTCTTTTAAACAATGTCTACACGCAGTTTCTTTTGTGGTTAATCGGGTTATTACTACTATTATGGTTGAGTATTTGGTCTATGTGCGTTGATTTTCTATACACTTGTGTTTCTAAATTTCCAGTGTTAGTTATCTTGATTAAGTTAGACATGTAAGAATGGAATTTCGTTATGTAATTCTTCTTCTCACGTGGTAAATTTAATGTCTTCAAGTATGCTGTTTATTAATTTATGGGTATATTACAAATTATTTCTTTGAACTATTGTAAATGTATCATCAACATAACGTATCCAAATTTTCGGTTTAATTATGGGTAGGGAGGGCTATTAATCCTGATCTTTGCATAATGACTTCAGCTGTTAATCCCGATTTGGGCGATGATCCCATTAGTGTTCTTTTTATCTGTTCTTGTATTTGATTACTGAAACTGGAAGTATGCTCTTTGACATAATTTTGTGAGTTCCGTCCAAGTTGAACATTGCGTTTTTGTGTTCTCATCGCTATATAGTAGTTGTTGCATAGTTTCTTTTGCTAGTTTTGGATAATTCGAAGTATAAAATGCTGTGACCACTGAGCTTGTATACAATTAAGCCACTGGGGCCCAATCCAATGGCCAGGCCATGAATTCTAACTTCTGCCAATCCACAACATAGTGCGACGAGTATTTGCCCTCACACCCGACCTGCTGCACCCTAGTGATCACGACTTCCCACTAGAACCCCACGTAACTACTACCTACCTGAATAGGGCCAGTCGCCAGTGAGCATCTCATTGATATCCAAGTATTGGTTTGCATCGTGAATTGACAGGAGTTAGAATTCATGGGCTACTGGATCGTGTCCCGGTGGCTTAATGGTCTACGAGCTCGCCTTGTAACCAGAAGGTCCTGGATTCGAACCGTGTCGGTGGGCGCGTACTGCTGAAGAGTCCCAAACTAGCCTGACGAAACAGCTGCCCAGTACTCCTTGATGGTTTTCCAATGGTTTTCTAACCCATGTCAGCTCATGATGAAATCCTGTAACCAAACATATTCCTACTGTAGACCAAATCCACCAACTAACCGTGGAGAATAAATCACATGCCGAGAAAGTTCGAATTCCAAGTCAATCAAAATATGATCAATATAGATGTAAATTAACAACCAGTTATACACGGGCATGGTTGTCAAGAGATACAATTATATGATCATTCATGGAGAATCCAAATGAGTTCGTTTCATACTAAAATGTGCACTGAAGGGAGATTTGCCTAGAGATGGTTGGGTGGGAAGGGGTGGAGGAAAACGACAGCTTCATGATTAAATCCACCAGCTTCTCTGAGAATATAATTAATTCAGTATCATCCTCCTGAGCTACAAACCTTCAGTTTTGTTTCGTAAATAAATCCAAAACTTGTGTGATTAGCTATATAAGACAGTGAACAATAAATTGTCTTCAGAATGTCATCTGTAATTAAATAACACTTCGTTTCAGCTACAGACAATACATATGATGGTTTTATAATCAGGATCAGAAAAACAAAGACAAGTATTCATTCGTTTGAAACAGGTGCGAAGATCTACACCACTGTACATATATAAGAAATTCTGTGTGGTTAAAAGACTTGGCTTGAGCGTCACTAAAAGCACTTCCAATCTCCTACTGTAGAATTTCATCAGTAACTACCTCCTCTGGCTTTATGCAGAATATGAAATAGCCAGCTGGAAAAGACAAGTGAAATAAAGAACTCTGACAGTTCACTGAACAAGCCCAAGACCATCGCCCAACAAATATGCGAATAAAGATAGACTGACATACAGAAAAAACAAAAAAAATTAGAAAAGAATATCCTTTTCGAGAATTCCTTCTTCTGGCTCTACAATTATAAATATTTAGAAAATCAAAACAAGTGATTCAGCGAAGAGACTCTTTTCAACGAATTTATCATCAAGCTGTACAGTCGTATATATATGGTTTTTAAGAAGTTATATCCGGTGAGGGAATTGAATCTTAGGTGTGAATGCATAAAATAATAATAATAATCATATGAAGTTCAATTAAAACTAAAATGTTTGTGATTATAATCGTAGTTAAATGTCAAGTGGCAAAGCAGATTAATGTCATATATAGAATAATTCATAGGAGGGATAGAACTTGAAAAAGGATGTGCAATTATAGGATTAGTAGGCAAATCGAATAAAACAAAAACGTTACGTAATATTGTGTGAAATTTAATAGCATAGAATTTATCGTTGTAAAAAACAATTGATTTAGAATGACAAGTGGAACAAGTGAAATAATACCGGGGACAGTTCAAAGTGAGAATAGTAATAATAACAATTGACTTAATAAGGAAGAGTATACAAATTGAATAGACAAAATGAAAAATTGGTAGAGCTAAAATATGATTGGGGATTACCATATTTTAGCATAGAGGGATTAAGACCATGAAAGTTGGAGGGGTTGAACGAACTTTTTCTGTACACAGAGATCTGGCTTTTCTGTTTCGATAGCCAAAGCTTCAGCAATACAGATGAGTCGGGTACGTAGGGATTTAGGTAGATTGCTCTTTGCCTTGTAGATGACTTTAAAGGCGGAGGCTATAGAGATAGGGTGATCATTTTCGACCAGATGTTCTATGATCGCGCTTCTTATTGCTCCACTTCCACCTTTTCGTAGCCATGCAGGATAATGTTCTTGCACCCTCTTGGACAAAACTCGAGTCGAACGACCGATATACCTAGCTCCACAAGAGCAGGTGAATTGATAAACGCACATAGAGTTGGTCAACATTGGGATCTTGTCCTTCAGGTTATTGAACAATAATGGTCGGCTAGTAAAAGCTATTCTCAGAGAGGCAGCAGGGAATGTTCTTTTCAGGGACTGTGATATCCTTCGTTTCATGATATCGGAAGCTAAGTCCCCTTTGAATTCTAAGCTCATGTAAAGTATTTTCTTGGGAGCGGTTGATAAGTCACGTTTTGTAGGCTTTGAATGTATATTCTTATCTATAAAACGTGGTGGAAATCCATTTTCCATTAGGATTTTCCTCAAAGTGTATAACTCATCTTCCACAGTATCAGTGCTACATATGCGTCGAATACGAGTGGCAAGCGACCGGACCAGGTTTCGTTTTCGACCAATGGGTACCCAGCTGTAGAAATTTGTCAGTTGACCATTCCATAACAGCTTACGATAAATCGATCTCTTCAGAGTTCCATCGGTCCTTCTTGATAAGTTCACATCGAGGAAATGATTATAATCACAAACATTTTAGTTGTAATTGAACTTCATATGATTATTATTATTATTTTATGCATTCACACCTAAGATTCGATTCCCTCACCGGATATAACTTCTTAAAAACCATATATATATATACGACTGTACAGCTTGATGATAAATTCGTTGAAAAGAGTCTCTTCGCTGAATCACTTGTTTTGATTTTCTAAATGCTACAATGGGAATTTTCCATGAATTATAAATATATATATATATATCAGTTGGAGAACTATTGAAAATCAGAAATTACCAAAGAGCTGTTTCATCCTAGTTTGGGAATCATTGGCAGTATGCAGATTAGAACTCAGGACCTTCCGGTGACAAGGTAGGCTCGTGACGAAGTCATGACCAGTGAGGTCCAACCAGTCAAGTGTTAGGATGGATTTCCAAACGATAACACTGGTTGATACCAGTTGCGCTAAATGCATCATGAACTGGTAAAAGTTAGAATCCATGCGCTGGCCATTGAATCGGGTCGAGTCCCAGTGACTGAATAGTATACGAGCTAGTTTGTATTGTACTCGGAAGGTCCTGGGTTCTAATCGGCGAACTGCCAATGATTCCCAAACTAGGATGAAACAGTTTTCCTGTACTTATTGCTTGTTTTCAGTGGTCTTCTAACTGATATCTATCCGTGGTCAAACTTGTAGAAACAAATTTAATGCTTACAAACCAACTCTTGTAATTTATACGTATGTTTATATACATAGAATATTCTAGAATAGTCATCATTAACAATATTAGTGTTGCTAAATACTATCGATTTGTTAAGTAGGATCACAATGGAATTACAGTTCAAGAAAAACGCTTTAGTTATAATGAGCATAAAAATATAATAAATAGCAAATAGAATATCAAATAAAATAGGACAATTTCCACAATAAATTTAGGATCATTAGAACTTTGATGGCCAAGTTAATGAATGACATTGTCTGAACTAGCTTCTTTTGGTTACATAAGTTGGATCTCAATAGCCAGACTCAGCAATATCTGGTAGACGAACTCTTAAGGTAAAGTGCACATTATTTTGTATGAGGTAGATGACTTTGAAAACCGCTTTGTTAACATCAATCTTGTGTTCTGTATCCACAAGATGAGAATGAATAACGCGATGAATGGATTTTGTTTGTCCTTTACTTAACCATACAGGCTGATGTTCGGAAATCCGATGAGAAACACGCCTAATTTTAAGGCCTATGTAACTGGCTCCATAGGGGCAGTCAGATTGGTAAATACGCATAGAAGAGGCGAAATTAGTTAGTTAGCAAATTCGGAGTAGTTTTGAAGTCACAGAATAATTCAGCAGCAGAGAATTCTCTTTTTTTTACCGAAATCTTTAGGCATTTTGTCAATATCTCGCTGATGTTATCCCCAAGGAACTGATGTTGTAAGAATAAGGCCTTCCTATTCTGGAACTGTTGTTACCTTGGGCTGCCTTGATATTTGATTCATATTCTTATCAATGAATTTTTCTGGATAGCCGTTCTCACTCACCAGCTGTTTAATAATATTAAGTTCCCCCATTAAGACATTTATCAGAGTAGATTACTCTTGCTCTGTAGAGCACGCACTTTATATGAAGCTGAAAAAATGAGTATACTGGCATACGCTGTGTATACATTCAAGTAGTATAACACATTAAAGCTAGCCTTCGAACGTAGCCGGAATGAGATGTGAAGGGTAAGACTTAAGTCGATTGGTGACACGGTGTACAGCGTATCCAGAGAAAACGAAATGAAGATGTGCTGTCTGGGGTCTAAGCCCCACTCGGAATGCAAGGAATTAATAGTAATGATAATAACACTCATGGGTAGCATATGAAATAAAAATCATGTTCTGACCAAATTGCAGCCCTACGCATCATCATCACGGAACAAAGCATGGAATAGCAATCAAAACTCTACCTCAATTTTATAGATTTTGAGAAGGCCTTTGACAGAGCATCGTTGACCATGAAATAATTTGGAAACTACTCGAGTACTACAGTGTACACCAAATATTCATCAACCTTATTCAACAGCTGTACGACAATCGCGGCACATGTCAAGTCATCCACAACGGAAAACTCACTGAGTCGTTTGAAGTAGACACAGGAGTCAGACAAGGGTGATTATTATCACCAATGAAATTCCTGATTGTGGTGGACTGGATTATGCATCAGACAGTGGAAAACGGGAAGACAGGGATATCCTTGACTGACGTGAAGAACCTAGAAGACATGGATTTCGCGCGTGTATGATTTATGCTTGATGTCACACACAATCGAAGACTTACAAGCGAAAACCGAAAAATGGTCGAAGAAGCAGCCGGCGAAGACAGGACTCCAGGTGAACAGAAACAGGACGGAGGTTATGAAAATAACCAACAAACAACAGTAACTGCAGCAACATCCAGCGTCAATCACCATCAACGCGAATGATTTGAAAGATGTTACTTCACTCACTCACTTATCTGGGGAGCATTGTCTCAACTACAGGCCACAGGAACAGACGAGGGTGTCAAATCGAGCGAGAATCGGGAAGGCGACAAACACACACATTCATCAACCTGAAACTAATCTGGAAATCTTCGTCACTCAGCCAGCATCAACAACAAAATTCAGTCAATTTTCAATACAAACGTCAAGCCAGTCAGTTCTTCTATACGGAACGGATCAGAAAGTTGGCGGGCGGGTCACAAAGAATATTTTCACCAACAGCCTCTTGCAGACGTTACCTTTATCAACCAACAACTGTCTTCGCTAGATCTATACTGAAGATCAGATGGCCAGGCCGGAAAGAATCACCAACTATGGGGAACTATGGGAACAAACAAACAAAACAAAAACCAATCGCCAACTAACAAATATGCAGGAGAAAATGGATTGAGATGGACTGGACACTCGCTGAGGAGGCCGCTGGGTGACATCGCGTGTCAGGCCCTCGAAAGCAACCTGAAAATGAAGTTGAGAGTGGGACGTCAAAGCAAGGGTGATATAGATGAGATCGTGTGAAGAGGAGTTGAAAGAGCATGGACTAACATGGATGCAGGTGAAAAGTACAACAGAAAGAAGACAGAAGTGGCAAATGGAGACGTGCAATTGAAGCCCTGTGTTCTACTAGTAACCCAAGGGAAAAATAATAATAATAACTTCACGAAACTCACTAATACTGAATTTCTATTTATCTGTCAAAACTAACACTTACATGGTCCAAAATTAATTGTAGCCAATAGCTCTTTGAATGGTGATCCACAAGTTAAATGACGAATTGTTCCTAAATCATTTGTTGTGATTATAACAGTATTGCTTAAATGCTTCCGTACAATTATGTTCAATGTTGCAAGGTAATTTACATCACAAGCTTTATATTCACCATAATTATTTTCCAACTAGTAAAAATGTAAATTTTAAACAAAAACATGACATACTACTAACAGTAGTAGTGAAAAATACACTGAAAAGAAATTAAAAATTAAAAAGAATGGGCTTCTGTGTAAATTGCTTCGTATTCTTCGTTGGTCAGTTTATAGTTTTTTTGGCCTGAAGTGCTTAGTCTTTGTTGACATATTGACTCCTAACACAGAGACAGATCAATGGTATATATGAAGGTTAACATGATGTTAATTGGTTAATTAGTGGAATTCAGATTGCGCATTTCGTCTTATTTGAGATTCATCAACTGGATTAGATCATCACTCTCTAGGTAGGGAGATGCATCTGTCTGATGTGTCCCAAATAGGACATAATACTCATTTTTGACCTCACTGCAAGACATCCTCAAATAGGTGAAGTGATCATTAGTATCAAAGAAATATCTTATAAAAATTCATTAGGAAGATCGAAAAAGGCCAAAAGCAAATTTGAAAAAATAATTGTGAAACTAGTAATGATAAAATAAATGAGAGAGAATATAAGGCATCTACAGTAGTTTTACCACATAATGAGGGGACATCTGAGACCCCAAGTAGGGTTCTGAATAAATCAGTAATTAGGGTAGCATTCAAACCTACAAAGTCACTCATATAGGACAAGCTCTGTGAGTTAAAGGACTATGTTGGTGGTCCCAATTAAACAAAATAACATAATTTATAAAATACCCTCCAATGACTGTGAGGTCAACTACATAGGTCAAACTAGTAGATCGGGAATAGTCAGATTGTCAAAATATAAGAATTTAGCTAAGGTAAGAATGGTTGACCCCTAGAAGATGAGTGATTTAGAAGAAAGCACTCAGCAATTGCACTTCACGCATTAACATACAACCACACAATAGGGTGGTCGGAAAGGGTTAAGATTCTAAGAAGTAATCTATGTTGGTGGCGAGGGAGATTGATTACTGAATCCCGCCTTGTTCATTTAGTCTACACCCAACACATGCAACAGAAATGACTCTTTGCAAATACCAGAGATATGCATGGAAGATATTATTACCACCAGTCAGTCACTCAGTCAAATCAGAGGAGGATAATAAATAATCTTGAAATTCTATTTCAATTCAATTCACGTACATCACAACATTCTAACAACTAACTATAAAAAACACTCGTCTTATATTCCATGTGGTTGTAATTGATCAATAACACTCATATTATTATTATTTCTGAGTGTACATTATCTCATATTGATTTTTATTCCAATATCTAATCGATTCCACACATGTATATAAATGAAGGGAAACAATTGTGTGAGTGAGTGGCTTGATATGATTATGAGCAGGAATAGTTTGTGCTCGAAATGTGGTCGTATTGGTTAATATTACTGTATAACAAACACTGTGTGATTTATCAAAATAAAATCTTATCCGTAATGGAGTTTTACTCTACCACCACAGTGCCCAATTTTTATACTTGTATTAATAATCATTAAGTTGGTGTCAATATTTGCACACTTGAAGATAATCACAGTTAATCTTTTAGCATAATAAGACATAGATAGCTTAGAAGACATCAGCAGAAAAATCCTCTCAGTCTTATAATAAGGATAAATAAAAATATACGCTACTTTAGCATTGAAAACTGTACTCATATGTACTCATGGAATTCCAATGAAGACAAAGGATTTTGACAACTTCTTGATTACCTTTTAAGTGTTGGTATGCAGAGATTCGATTGAGTACGATTTTAGTCACAAAATGACTTCAGTTAGAGAAGCACTAAACACTAGGGAGTACCAGATAACTGTTTCGTCTTAGTTTGTGACTTTTCCGTAGTATGTAGCCATAACCATACCATCAGGGATCAAGCGCAGGATCATCAGGCTATAACGTAACTTCGTTGACCATCTAACCATAGCGAGAGAGTCCTATAGTCCGTCAATTTGAGATATATGGCACTGCCACCAGCATCTATCATCATCATATTTGGTTAGTGAACCCCTCCCTGCTGGTGACCACTTATCACTAGAAATTCAGGCGAAATCATCCTGTAATCAGTCACTATATTAAGTCACTATATTAAGCTAACCTGCTGGTTTGCAGGAGTTTGACTGAATACAATTGTGGTCACAAACAGAGAAGTCAGTTAGAGAACCACTGAAATCTAGGGAGTGATAAAATAGCTGTTTTGTCCTAGTTCAGGACTAATCGACAGTACTTATGTATGACTCTACCATGGATACCTCTGATACAGTACTTCTTCTGAATATATATTTTCGTTTGTGCACCTTAAATGAACCTGAAATCTGGATGGTGGATGATGGAATCAGAGATGAACTCGGAATTCAACTTTTTGGATGTTTCTATAAAAAAGAGATCTGATGGTTGTGTTCAAATATTGATCCACGAAGAACCAATATGGAATGGTTCTCTTTGAGAAGAAAGAGATGCCCTGACCCACTATTCATCCTCAAGAATAAGAAGGATATGTTCCAGCGATACAATAGATGGGGAACTGGAGTGACTAAGATAAGCCCTCATAGAGAATGGATATCCCTCAAGATTTGCCGAGAAAAACATGAAGTTAAAGCAAAAGCCTTAAAGAACCCAGACAGTGTCAAAGAAACTGCTCTTTATGGGCGTTGAATTTAAAGGTGATACCATAAATGAGATCCTGAAGAATCGCTTATGCAGGAAAGCCTTCTTCAAGGCTGGGCTACAGATTAATTTCTACAACCGACAAATAATCAATGGATGTGAGATGAAGAAACTGCTGCTTTGGACGAGCCACTTCAATGTGTGTTTATAAATTCACCTGCTCATGTGGAGCTAGTTATATTGGCCGCACAACTTGCACACTTCCCAAACGCATCTCTGAACATTATCTGGCATGGTTAGCGATGAGACAGTGAAAGATAATTACTAGTTGAATTCTCGAGCACTTGGTGAACTCAAGCCATGTAGCCCCACCAGAGTCGTCTTTCAAGATCATCTACAAGATAGGGCCAAGTGGTACAAAAGACGTCAGGTTTTGACATTTGTGTAAAGCGGAGATGTTGGCAATTCGTCAATACAACCCCGAGCTCTCTCTGTATACAGAAAATATTTGTCCAGTCTCTTTTTCCACCTTGATCTTAACCACTTCATTAGTCGTCCCCTGTAAAATATGTTAATTTTTTCAATTTTTAATTTTACTTTTAGTTTGCTTTTACTTGAATAATTAATTCACTATTATCACTCTCATATACTCCTTTCATACATTTTCACACTTTCTTCACACGTGTTTAATTGACACTCAACTACTACCTTTATTCTCACTCAATAGAAATTTTTACCTTATCAAACTTCTATCTTTGTGCCGTTGAATACCATGTAATTTACAGCTTTTAATTTTCACTTCTAAAGCCACTTCTGAGTAATTATATACCAATTATATCACCTTCTCCACGTATTACTCAGTAATAGACTACTATACATTTTTGGTAAAAAATAAATACGACTGTAAGGCAGCCTCTGAAGAGGATTTGGTCGATGAAGAAAAGAATTTGTCTTTTCCTATCTTGATGACTCAACGGGTATTTTCGGTGTACACTTGATACACTTTTTTTACAAATGTCTGCAATGAAGATGTCAGTCAGTCAGTCAGTCAACGCAGTACACTGTTGTATCAATCAACTGATACACTGCAATAATTATTATTAAGTCATCATTAAGAACATAAATTTTGCATAGTATGAGAACCAAAAGAAACAACAATGTTTAGGGAATATAGGGATAGAATAAATGAGTCAGGTCATTGGGGAAATCAGTTAAGCATACTTGTCAATCTCATTCATTATGCCATGCTACTTACAGAAGGCGGTGAAAGAAGGAAACTTCAGTGTTTTCGTCATTGTGTATGATTGTTGAACATCTCTGATATGGTGTTGAGTTACTTACCCCACCTACGTACATACCCACACTTCACTAATGGATGCTTAACTAACTGTAGATATATTGTTGGTATAAGATGGTTGGAGGCAATCGGCAACAGGAAGCCTTGGACCTTGGTTTCAGTGCTAGTTGGTACTCGTCAGCAAGGCGTATCTGCAACCTTCAAGGAACTCATGTCCCTTCTGCGATTCGAACCCGCTTCACCCAGTGCTGCAATCAGAGGCGTTGCCACTAAGCTCTTCAGGCTCACAATTGACCTCCTGTAGGACTGACTGTATTGGATATTTTTGATTGCATACTAGTTACTGACTAGTGTGCAGTCAAAAATAACACAGATATACTTTGTACCATGGCGGTATGTCAGAGACTGACCACCTTTAGGCCTAGTGAGCAGCAATTGGTATGGCAGCCTCCGAGATGACATTCGTAGCTCATATCCTACCACCCCACCCCCCCGAAGCTAGTGTTTAAAGAAGACCACGCTCAATAAAAAGTGACCTCTATCGTATCCAAACACTCACTGTCGGACCTCACAATTGGCTTCAAACAATTCTACAGAGGCAATAACCATCGAATAAGTAAGAGTAGCTGCACATCCTTAGTTCAAGGATGCCAAGTTTCACAGGTGTGCAGCACCAGCTACGTGTGCACCGAAGTATGTTCAAGACTGTATCAATAAAATGTATTGATGAATAAAATAATGATAAATGTAGTGAAAACAAAATATTTAGCAACTAACTAACCTGTATCATAATAATTGGACCTCCCATAGAATATAAATGTCTTTTAAGTTTTGGTAAAAGAACATTATACCATTTTGTCACTTCATATATAAAATCTAGATAAGAATAATTGGGAAATACTTAATAATTATAATTTTTTTAAAACAGTATATACATGCATATAAACATTTATATGTGTATATTAACTAATACTTAACTCTTCTGTATGTTACATAGATAACTCTTGGTTCCCAAGTTAAACAATGGCTATGTAGAGGAATGAACTCACCATTGATCTCGGAGTGAACAGGCAGAACAAGTCAATGAAACCAAGTAAAAGCCACTACATTTGTAGAATAAATAATGAAAGATTAGGTTAAAGGTTAGGATGAGAATAGGTTAAGAGTAGGTTGAGATGAAATTTACCCGAAGACTAAAGGTTTTCTGGATTACATCGTGATGAGGTTAAAGAAAACTGTACTTTATGGTTAGACAAGCAATAGATTAGGATTAGGGTTGGATAAGGGACCTGAACATGTCTCCTTAAAATCAATTGATCCTCTCAAGGTCATCGGTGCATCGTTCTGACTGATCACTAAACTCTAACTTTACCCTTCTAGTTTTTTTCCGTTCCTTCGGGTTCCGATGGGAACATCAGGTGGCTACAAGCTTCAGCTTTCACCTTTCATTAACGGTGGTGTTGTCATTTCTCACAGGGTGGGATTGGTAGTTTTACCCCTAACCTACCCTGTTTCCAGAGTTTAATATCGATTTTTGTGTGGTTACGTTCTCTGAACAGGATAGTTCAGTTACGAAGCTTTCATTACCCTACTAGGCAACATCTTCAGTGCATATTTCAATTCAATGAAGTGATGCATCTACACCATCAAGAACGATTTTGAGAATTCATAGATTGCAGCTCAAGGTGTTCATAGGACTCTGTATTTTGTCAGCATCCTCGCCTAGAAGGACTATACCATCTTCATATTCTAAGTCATTGAGATTATTCCGCAGGTTAAGTCGGGATGAATAATTTTTGAGGTTGACCTTTTCTACCCCTGTCTCTTCAGAGTAGAGAAACAGCATAGCTGGTATTCGGGTCATCTGAGGGAAACACCCTACTGCTGTCACATCCCTGTTCCCCAGCAGTATGACTTCGCCTACAGATCCCCAGCATAGTGTAAAAATAGTTCTTACACTATGCCGGTAACTGCTTTTAGTCTAATGGCTTTCCTAACAACCTTCCTGACATGGTAGGGCCTGCAGGAATGATAGTTTCAGTCAGTGTAGCTTGTTGGATTATCGTGATGTGCAAGACCGACCACCACGTCAGCAGCTATTGGTCAAGAATTCTGTCAGTCTATCTAAGATTAGTAGACAGTTAAAAAGCTACTCAACAAGGTGATAATTATGAAATGAAAACATACTTTAGTGTAGAGACGAATTAAGACCAGGAGAGTTAGAGGGGTTGAACAAACTTTTTCTGTATACAAAGATCTGACTTTCGAATTTTTAGGTAGTCGAATCGAAGCTTCAGCAATACAGACGGTTAGGATACATTATGATTCCAGCAAATCATTTTTTTGCCTTGTAGACATAACTTTAAAGGACAGGACTAGTGTTGACCCGATATTCAATAACTATGCTTCTTATAGCCCCAATTCAACCCCTTTTCGTAACCACACAGGATTGTATTCTCGCAGCGTCTTGGGGCATAATAATTTGAGTCCTTTAACCGATATACTTAACTCCTCAGGATCTGATGAACTGATCAGCTGTGAGATCTTGTCCCCCCCCCTCCACCAAGTTACTGAACATTCATGGTCGACTAGAAAATGTTATTCTCAAAGATGCTTCAGCGAATATCCCTTTGAGGGACTTTGATATCCTTCTTTTGCGGATCCTGGAAGTTAAGTCATCTCCAAATTCAAGGTTCATTTACAGTATTTTCTTGGTTACAGACGTTAAATTATACTTTATAGGTTCTAACTGTATGTTTTTGTCGATGAAACATGGTGGAAATCCATTTCCACTTTGGGATTTTCTTAGAAGATTTAACTCTTCCTCCACAACATCAGGATTACGTATACAGCAAAATACTAGTGACAAGTGATGGAATGAGGTTTCGTTTCATAGCTGTGAAAATTTGTCAGCTATTTATTTCATGACAATTTTCAGCGAATTGATCTCTCTTTTTTGGAGTTCCATCAGTCCTCCTTTATGAGTTCACATCGATAAAATGAATCCTAGACTCATTCTCCAATTTGAGTGTAATTTTGTAGCTGGGTAGCAGCAGTTTAATGCTATTGATGCATTTTATAAAGTATATATCTATTCATATTTTGCCACAATTTATATTATTACTTAAAAAGTCAGCTTGATGATAAATTCGTTGAGAAGGGACTCTCTCTTTCAGAATCACTTGTTTCGATTTTTTACATGTTCCAATGAGTACTTTCCAACAATAAATATATTTTCTCTGAAATTTATTGTATATTACCTGTGGACTGAGTTCAATAGTGTGTTTCTGTGTGTATGTGTGTGTATCAGCAGTCCAGTGATATAGCACTCACTAACAAACGCTAGTGGTTCTCGTTCTCGGTCAGACTGCTCCAAAATAAATAACTTTTTATCATGAATTAGTCAGTGATCCTCGTCAAATGGTCCTAAGCTAAATCCATCTAAACGTCAGGTTGATGTGTTTGTGTTCTATGAGCCGGATAGTTAATTTGCGAAGCTTTCATTGCCCGTCCTACTAGGCGACATCTTCAGCGCATACTTCAATTTGAATTGAAGTCAGCTTTTAGATTTCTCCACGAGTTTATTGATCACCTCTCCTGGTGACCTTGGACGTGATTGGTTGTGTGTTTTGTGTGTTTTCACACCTTCTAGGTTATTTGTATTGGAACTGATTGTTTCTTTGACCTTTTGTGTGTGTGGTTTCTTTCTTATCGGTTGACAAATCTTATCTATCTCGATGTGTTTATTCATTGATGATTAACTGGAATGCCATGCTTCTAAAAATTCTCCAGCATTCTTGCTGTTTCCTCTGTCTAATATTTGAACGTTGGTTGTCCCAGATGAATTGATGTCCGTGGTTGTCTGTATGTAGTGATATGAGGGAGTGGATGTCATGTCTTTTGACGGCTAGCTTATATTCGTGGATACGATACGCATTTGTTACAACTTACTTTGTAAATGAAGTTGGTTTTATCTTCTTTCGTCGTTGATTCTCTTGGCTGACACAGTGCCAGCTGTGTGATGTGATTTTGTTGGCTTTTGTGCGACGTCAATTCCTAAAGGTTTGAAGAATCATGCACTGATTTCTGAGATATCTTTTATACATTGAAGGGCAATTTTCTTTGTGCTTTCCTTGGGGGCTTTTGGTTTGATAGGTTGACTTGGGGGTATATGTCTTTTGATGAAGTTCCGTGGATACCCATTCTTTTGTAAGACATCCATATGATATTTTTCTTCAATTTTCCTTAAGGTGGGAGTGCTGCAATGAACCCTGGCCCTCTTGAATAGTGTTTGTATGCAATTCGTTTTGTGTGTTATCGGATTGTTGCTGTTGTAATTCAGGATTTGGTCTGTGTGAGTTGATTTCCTATAAACTTGAGTTTCTAATTCTCCTGTAGTTGTTTGCCTGACTAAGACGTCCAAAAATGGTATTTTGTTCTCGGATTCCTCTTCTCTTGTGAATTTGATGTCATTGAAAACGTTGTTTATTAAGTTGTGAGTTTTATCTAACTCGTTTCTTTTGATTATTACAAATGTGTCGTCGACGTATCGTATCCAAATATTTTCGAGCCTGTGCATCACTGCTTCTGCAATCAAACCTGATATTGGCGATCTCATGGGTGTTCCTTTGACTTGTTCATGTATTCGGCCATTGAATTCGAAGTATGTTGTTAGGCAAGGTTTATGCATTCCATCCAGACTGTGTTGCATTTTTTATTGTTGTGGAAGGTGTTCGTCGTCAATGTTCTATGTAACAGAGTTATGACAATCTGGTATCACTCAGTCAGTCACTACAGTTACCGTTTGTTAATTCTTGTATTCTGTCTATACTTCTTTACTGTTCCTCCTCCCTCCCTTAATCTTTCCTGGGCTATTCAAGGAAGACTTTATTATACTACGCAGAGCATTAAGAACTGTCAGTAGGACAAATGGGGTGTCGCTAAACCAACGTGTTAATACTACTGTAGATGGATACTTGAATTCCTTCAACAAAATTAGCAAATATTATCCTGTCAGATTCTGAACATCCTCTGTATACACAACTCTCCGCAATCGCATCTCATCGGGTAAAAATACAAGCAACTGTAGAAGACTGTATGCTCGGACGAGTAAGTACAAGAACTCTATAATATCTTATATTTGGTAGATACACATTCTATGTGGTGATAAAAGTGTGTAAGATGGGAAATTACCAATTTACTAAAGAACTCCGAGTAAACGGCTCTTTTTGTTTTCATTGTTAGATTGTCGTTAATATTCTCATTATTCAGACTGCCAAAGAAAGGAAACTTAAGTCAATGCAGAAACTGGCGCGGAATTATGCTCCTAACCATCCAAAGCAAAATACTAAGCCGCATCATCCTGGAGAGAATCGAACACGCCAACCTGGATGAAAAACTTCTACTTGAACAGGCTGAATTCAGGAGAAACAAGTCATGTATTGATCAAATCGCCACTCTACGGATCATCAATGAGCAAAGCTTAGAATAGCAGTCACCTCTCTATCTCAACTTCCTCGACTTTGAAAAGGCCTTCGATAGTGCAGCGTCGATCGAGAGGTCATGTGGCAACTACTTCGCTACTATGGGGTGCCAGCGTCAATTATACATCTCATCCAACAGTTATACGACAATGGTGCATGCCAAGTAATTCACAACGGGAAACTTACGGAAGCCTTCGAAGTGAGGACGGGAGTGAGGCAACGCCTTCTGCTATCTCCAATGATCTTCCTGATTGCGGTAGACTGGATAATGCGACAAACAACGGGCAATGAGGAAACAGGTATAAAATGAACTCACACAAAAAACTTAGAGGATCAGGACTTCGCCAATGACATGTGGCCGATTTCCCACAAACTGGGACATATGCAAGTAAAAAGCAACAAGCTGGCACAAGAAGCATCCAGAGAAGATAGAACTTCAGGTGAACATAGATAAAACACAGGTGATGAAGATTCCTGGCCAACACCACCAACAACAACAACAGACATCAATCAGCATAAATGGGATGAACCTGAAAGAAACAACCTCCTACACCTACGTATCTGGGAAGCATCGTTTTAACTACAGGCGGATGGAACTGATGAGGATATCAAGGCGAGGATTAGGAAAGCAAGACAAGCTTTCATTACTTCTAAGTCTGTGTGGAGGTCAACAGCACTCAGCATGAAAAATAAGATCCGGATTTTCAAATTTCTAATTTGCATAGATTTATATGTAAAAACTTTTAACCAACGTCGGTGATTTTGTGGATCAAATATTAATAATAATAATAATACTAATAATAATAATAATGTGGTACATGTTGTGAGCGTCATTCATAACGATAGTTATAATGATAACAAAAATAATGATAAGGTTTATGCAGGTGGCGATAAGAATAATGAAGGCAGCAATATATGTGTGTATATGCAGACAATTCAATAAATAAATTAGGTCAAATCTTAAAAGTTACGTAATACTAAAGGTAGGTGAAGTGGACAGATAATCAGAGTTTAAATAAATACCATAAAAATACGAAGGGGATGGAAAATAAGGAAGGGTGGGGGGGTTTTGAATAGAATCCTTCTAGGCCAGGCAAGGGAGAGACAAAAGTAGAACAAACTTGTTTTGTTGTATGCAAAGACACTAGGACTGTTCTCTCGAATTGATTCCCATAGCCTCTTCGGCTATGTGTAAAAGACGGATTCGAATTCCGTTCAAAAGGTGGTTCGATGGAATGCGATAGGTAACTTTTGAAGGCACCATTTTTGTCCACTTGGTAACCACTATCATCAGTCAAATAAGCCAAAATAGAACTTCTTTCAGATTTTATTTGAACTTTTCCATACCATGAATGAAGGGAGATGCTCATTAATGCTTTTGTTAGGGTGTCTTTGTAAATTAGAGTAAAGCCTGAAGAAGATCTAATTGAGAACAATAATATTGTTCGCTTATTTGTCTTGTTCTATTATTAAAAACTCTGCAATACCTTATGTTTGGTAAGCACACATTTTATATGATAAGAAAGTATGTAAGACACGAAATTACCAACTTACTGAGGAACTATAATAAGTAAACGGCCCTTTTCTGTTTTGAATGTTAGATTGTCGTTAATATTGTCATTTGATTTTATATTCATTTCTTATTGGACAATATTATTAATATAAATGACTTATTTTAATTATTGCCCGACCGATAGCTGCTACCTTGACGTGGTGGTCGCCGGGCTTACACATCGCGATGACCCAACAAGCTACACTGGCTGGAAAAATGTTCCTGCAAGTCCCAACATGCCAGGGAGGTTGTTAGGATAGCGATTAGACTAAAAGAAGTTACCGGCATTGTGTAAGAATCTTTCTTACACTATGCAGGGGGTCTCAGGGAGAAGGCGTACTTCTGGGGAACAGGGATGTAACAGCAGTGAGGCTTTTCCCTCAGATGACCGGCATGCCAGCCGGCTATGCTGTCTCTCTACTCTGGAGAGACAGGGGTAGAAAAAGTCAACCCCAAAAATTGTACATCCCGACTTACCCTACGGTGGTCCGTAATCGGCGGTAAGTTAACTTATACGGAACCAGGCCGTGTGTGGCTGACGAGAATCAAGCAGTTATCCCCTGAGCTCTGTGGTCACGCAATACTAACCCTCTATCTGTTTTAGGTACCCGAAGAATCAATCAACTTCCACGGTGTGGGTAGCCGGGAAGTAACAACCGCCAACACACTTCCAAAAGCACGCGAAGCCTTCCTGAGCACACTTCCAAAAGCCCCTGTAATGAGAAAATCAGATGTTGAAAATTCTATATTTGTATCAAGAGTACTGTTTGGAGTAAAGTTGTTATGATTAGCATTAATCCTGGCTAACACACTCCTAAACCCCACTTATCCCGTAGTGAAATATTTGATGCGTGACTAAAAACCTCTCTACTGAAGCTTCATAGCTTCATGGAGTGCCGTGTTCACTCAAAATGCAAAGAATGATTACGGTCGAAGGTGGACTATGAAGAATTATTTAACGGGTAAATAGAAATCTCAAAATAACTAACCTTTATCACTGGTTCGCATTTTAATATTTGGATACTTTCGCATTAACCATGCTGGTAAACCTCCCTATAAAGATAGATAGAAATTAACAAAAAAAACTCATTCATATGAATGATAGTCTAGTCATTCTAAGATATCATCAAATACATCTATTGAGGAAATTGACAGGAATCAGCTTAGAATAGGAGTCATTTATCTTCTGACTAAGTTATTATATGATTCATCTTGTGGTCAGATGATTGTAAAATTGCATTATCTTTTCTCCACCATTAGTCTTGGTCAAATTGTCAACCATTCAGAATATTCAATTCTATATTGGTATGTTTATTAGATGTATCACACACAGTGAGTGAAACAGTGTTATTTACTGGACGACACACTTTCGAACAAAATTTATTGTTGTTCATAATCATATAGCCACTTATAATCACACGACTTTGAAACTTGAGTTTTATAGTTTTCTTTGTTTTCTCCAATTTGTCGTCGTTGGGATAGTAGAATTTTCCAGATATTCGTCTGGGACAGGTGTTGAATCATTCCTGTTACATGTATTTGCAGTTAATTCGATAAACAAAGCTTATGTTATCAATCTCACCCTGCTGCTACATTGGATTTTAAAACTGTCATTCTATCCTATCCAGCCTATTGTATGGTTGTGTGTAATTGCATATAGTGAGTGCTATTGCTGAACTATTCTCTACATTTCTTATCTTATTCGGGTCAACTAATCTAGATTTTGCTAGGTTTTTATGTTCGGCTAGTCTGACTGACTGAGCCCTGTTCTACTAGTTTGACCTATGTATTTGACCAGACAATCAGTACAGGCAGGGTATTAGATATACTAAATTGTTTTGTTGCTAAGGCTCCGCAGGAGTGATCGTTTAACCGATAAAGCTTGTTTCTAATTGAGTTTGTGGGCTGTTTGAATGCCAGCCACTTTTATTCCTGTCTTGTTAAGAATTCTGCGTAAGGTTTCTGAGGTTCCTTCCTTGTATGGAATTTCTACTGACGATTTAGATTCCTTATTGTTGATGTTGTCTTGCGCATACTTGACATGCATGTCGTCATTAATATTACTATTATTATGATTATCACTATCCCTAATATCATCATTCATTTTATTCTTACATTTCCCTACATACTTTCTGACTAATTTATCAGGGTAATTATTGAGTTTCAAAGCTTCTGTTATATGCCTCACTTTCTGTCTTAGATTTTCCTTGGTACTAATTAGATTTTGTGCCCTGTTGTCACTTAAAAATTTCACCAATCCTACTTTCCCTGACACAGGATGGGATGATCGGAAGTCCAAATATCGGTTTGTATGTGTGGGTTTCCTGTAAATGCACACCAGTGTTTAACTTCCCATCTTCTTTCCTTTTTACGCTACAATGAAAGTTCCTCTTCCTGACTTTCAAATTCATAAGTGAATTGAATTGTCTCCACCTTCGAGTTGATGTGTTCGAAAAATCTATCTATATCTTGTGTTCTAAGTACAGTGAATGTATGATTTACATACCTTCACCATACTTTTGGGTTGCGGCTGAACGTTTCAATCACTATGTTTTCCCACCTATCCATGAATATTGGTGGCCCCATGGCAACTCCCTCAGTTTGTTTGTATATTTTCCCTTCGGGGGATTTAAATACTGTGGAAGTCAGGTATAACTGCACTCCTGGCATTATGTCCTCAAGTGGCACTTTCGTTCTAATTTCGAGTTCTTGGTCAGAATAATTATTTTTCGCATACCTTAGTCGAATTTCCAACCAATCAGAACACAATTCATTTTCAATGCCCTGCGACGATTTTAATGTAGTTAAAAAAGATGTAAATATGACGTGTTTTTTTTACTAATAAAATCATACCGTAACAGCTACAGGCCAGTATTGTAAAAAGATTTTGTATTTCCTAATGAATGTGGCTCAGTGAAGCGCAAGGTGCCATGGACAAATAGGCGTATAATAATAATAACAGCTTTATTCCAAACAGTATTTGTAGTACAGGTATGGAATTTTCAGCAGGCATTACAATGTATATAATGCATCTAACTACCTCAAATATTTTATAAGATTTTTAAAATCAAAAAGCAACGCCAAAAAAAGATAAATAAAAAAAATAAAAAGAACAGCGTAGCGTTTACATTTCAAACAATGCACCACAGGATATGAAATATAAAATTGGTGTGTGACAGAAGATGAGAACAACAGTGTAATAGTAACGAGGAAAGGAAAACAAAAACCAATAGGACTATTTGTTAGAGCGCCGTAGTAAGTTGATCGTGTCATACCTAACGGTTTTCTCATCACGCAAATAACAGCTGTGTCAGATATGGTGTTGTGGAGTTTTTGTACTCGGTAGTCCAAGCATATAGCCTCCTATAGCTGCTTCTAGTTCTATCAGATGAAATGCAGGGAGAGAGCTGTGTATAGAGAGAATGCTTGGGGTCTGGCAATATTGTATTCGCCAGTTTCTTACACGACATAATATGTCTATCCACAATAGTGTTAACCAGTTGGTTTAACGATATCTCACTTACCGTACTAACGGCTTTTAGTGCCCTTCTCAGCAAAGCAAAGTCTTTCTTAGGTAGTCCAGGAAAGATTAATTGGGAGCAGTAAAGGGGGATGGGTAGAATACAAGAATTGACAAACTGAGAAAGCAAAGACTACTTTATGCCAGACTGCCTAAATTTCCTAACGTAGAATGTTAAGCTAAACATCTTTCTAGTAACTAGCAAGATGTGGGAGGGCCAGGAAAGATCGATGAAAAAACTCAGCATATCAGATGAGTTATTCATTGCATCAACATTATTATACCTACGCAACTGTTTACACAGTTATATTGACAGGACTGGTTTCAACATAAACTTTGCACCAATGTGCGACAGTTCGAGTCGTCACACTCTAATCAACACACAAAGCCAGAGAAGAAGAAGAAAGTAAAAAGAAATGCAAAATAAAGACAGCAAACACAGAGATATGAGGCAAAAAGAATAGTAATAACGAAGAACTATATAGTTCCATTGGGCATTATAAGTCACAAGAAGTGAATGCATCTGCGCTAGCCATTGAGAACGATTTTGAGCCATATCACCAATTGTCTCCAGCCTCCGTTGGTCTTTGCCATCCCGAGGAACCCAACTAGTCAGGAGTTTACACCTTCCTACGTGGCTGGCTGGCTGGCTTAAACCAACTGTTGTGAATTTCACTGACTGATCATGCCATGTTTTGGTTTCACCACCACGTGCTATCTCTTTTCCAGTCAGACCCTGTGTCAGTTAACATTGCCCACTGAGAAAGGCGATCGCTAGGCGATCGCGCGTAACAAATGCTCTAACCATCTCAGTCAATGTAACTTCACAGCCTCGTCTATTGATTTCCCTTAGTTGTATTAGCTGTCAACGAGATCTTATCAATTAGCTACAGGTCCATAACAAAAACACAGTCAAACTGGATGAAATCTTTTAGAAATTTGGAGGGTTTAATTGGACCTGTATTCATGTGAACAGTATCGTAAATTCTCTGAACATTAAATAATAATATCTGATTGCATTATCAACTATTATTTATGAAAAACTTAAAAAGTGATCAAAGAGGTGGCCTGGGAATTTGAAGATCCCAGGTTTGATCCCTGGGGGGAGTCACAAGTTAATACCACCGGATAATTTCAAACCAGACTGAAACAACTGTCAGAAGCCCCATTAAAACATATTTTCTCAGACAGAGTTACTCTGTTTATATGTTCATATTTCAAAAAGTACAGCTGGTTTGTGCAAACATCACCTAATGATGTTATGGACACTAAATATCATTCCAACTTCCATAAGGACACTCCATTGTACTGACCGACTGAGTTTCAACGTTGAAATTTATGTAGGAGTGTGGTGAAAGCTGTCTGCATGCCAAAATTGTAGACAATAATTTACGTCAATGTTTACTCCTAACCTTGAGGAACTCACGAACCAATCACAGCATGCTTAATGTGTGCAAATACGATTCGCAGATATATGTCTTAACTTTCTAAGAAACGGTCACAAGCAGTACAGAATAACCTTTAGCAGGAAAACAACCGATCAGAAGACGTTACTCCTTCTCTAACAATAACGCTAATAATAATGTAATTAAAAATCTATAAATGCCTCTTGATTTTCTCAATAAATGATCTGTTGCCTGGCCCTTGTCTTCTGTCGTTACAGAAGTACACCAGTCCAAGTTTCCGCACTTCATACAGCACACAAAGATAGAGAAAAGAGGAAGTAAATGAAACTGGAGAGAACTGTATTAAGCACAGGTGTACTGGTAACATAGAAAAAACATGAGTCTGAGAGGAGATTAGAAATAGTGAATTCATCTGCCCTACTGACTGACAACAGTTTCAAATCATATCACCATTAGTTTCCAGTCATTGTTTCTTAGGGTTTCATGGCCCTGAAAGAGGCAGTCTACACCTTCCTATGTCAAAAACATCATGGACTGATGCCTAAGTCCTCTCTGACTTAATCCAATTTTAGCCAACATGGTTTGACGTGTCTTGCCTTCCGTTGTTACAATACCACTTAACCCAGGAAATACAATGCAAATATACGTGGTCAAACACAGTTTTTAACAAGAAATAAAAAATTCTACACATGTAGACATATGAAAAAGAGAAAACGTTCAGCGAAGAGACTCTTTTCGACGGCGAATTCATTCACATAGCTGTACAATTACACTTATATGTAATTGTTTGTGTGTGTACAGGAGGTTTGTCAAGTTTAGATAATTGATCAGGTAATAAAAGAATGATCTAATATAGAAACAAGGTTAATTAGACAGCAACTAAAGCAACTAAGATTGAGTTAGCAAGTTAGATGACGTAATATAATTGACTAAAATGTTTCAACTTAGGTCAGGGTAGCAACAGAGGTAATTACAAGTAGAAACTAAGTAGAAGTGGGGTAGATAATAATGCCATTTAAATTAGAACTGAAATCGAGCAAATAAGTTGAATGACGCAACACAAATGACTATAAACTGAGCGTTGGTCGAGTCAGTAACAGTGGTAATTAGGTGTAGAATTTGAATCA